GCATGTATTGAGGGACACTGAGCCCCAGTGGGAGAGGTCTCCAAGTATTACTGGTTGCACTCCAGTGTCTAGTATCTTCATTCTCAAGCATCTTCCATCACCTGTATTTCAAACCTCTGCTCGGTGCTAAATGCTTGTGTGAGGGATGACAGTGCTATCCTGGAGACAAAAGGACTAAGATACAAGCAAGATAACGGCATGTCTACAGGAATTATGCTGACATACCTGTGCTACTTTAACTCAGCTGCCTCGTATTATGTTAGCTCAGGGTTCAGCACAAATTGCTGAAATAAATGCTTTGCTTTTGAGGTGAACTGCAGCCTGCATGGAGCTCCCCAGCACTGTGGGTACACTCTAGCAGCACCCAACCTAAAGTTGGCTAAGGAAAAGTTCTTACGAGCTGCAGTCACAGCAGCAACTGCCATATGGCCGTGCTCGTGTGACCTGCTGCCTGACATTGGCCAATTCCCTGCCTGACATTGGCTAAATTGCTGCCAGGACCAGCAGCAGAACAGACGGCACTAGGAAAGTGCTGCCCCACTTGTTAAAGCGCTGTCGTGAACACAGGCTGTGAGCTGACACACATCAACATGCAGAACTACATGAATCAGTAAAAACTCTTTACAAATGCATTGGAATTGTTTGGCTATGCTGAGGGGCCAGAGGGATGTTCAGAGATTTGAACAGTCATTTAATCCAGTGTTCGGCACAAACTCTCCCTCTCCCCACTCACTTCCCCTTATGTTGCTGTATACCTTACCTTCCACCGCTGCTGTTGGCCTGCTCACTTATTTAGGCTCTTTTTTACCCCTGCAATGACTACCATGTACTGAAACCTCTCCCTGAGTTAGTACCCATTGCCAGTGGCTTCCCTGGACTCAAATTTCTCCTGGGCAGCCATTTCCATTAAGACAGCCTTAAGAAATCAGCTGTTTTGTAATGATTAAGTCACTGTGGGTAGCCTTAAAAGAAGGTTCATTATCAAGGTACTGCCAACCATGAAGTTGGCATCCTTCCCTGCAAAGTTGTACATCCACTCCCTCTGTCAACTCAACAGTCTTTTAAAGACTTCTTTGAGGCAGGGATTGCTCATTCCAGAACCAAGCAGCAATTACCCATTTCAAGAATGCAACCAGCAAAACACCGTCTCAGTCCATTATCTTCATCAAATTGCAAAAATATTCAGCCCATCAGTATTTTGCTAGCAAGCATAGACTTAGCTGTGCCAGTAAGGAGGGGGGAAAAACCTAACTTTGAGGCATGCAGAGTTCAACAACACCCAACCCTAATCCTATAGGGTCTTCTATATATGCTTGAGTGAGGGGTTAATCTCAAATAACGTAACAACATGTAGTTATAAGCTGCTGCCATTTTAAGGGACTTTTTTAGGCTCCTGTAGATGACAAGGCAGGGTAAAATGTATTCAAATCCAGAAATATTTTGGATGCCTTGCGGAAATAACTTGGAAGGTGACCGTTTCTTTATCGTAATTCTTAGTCACTTTCTGAAAACATGCAATCACTTTCATCTGAGGAAGGAATGATTAAACAAAACATACAAGGTTACTTCTGTCATATCTGCGCCTATTAGACACTGGCCAAGTTTTCAACCTCAATGCCACACCACAATGCTCCTTTCACAACCTCAGTGCCTGCGTGCACCATCAGTGCCACAGTGAACACGTTATGTGGAGATCAGCAGACACAAATGTAACTGTGTGTGCACCCATGTGTACGTAAGTGGGATCATATGATGGGTCACTGTGACCTGGATACCAAACAGCCTACAGAAACCTCTTCCTTCAAACTGGGCCTGCAAAACAGCAGGTTGAAATGTGGAGTTACTGCTTTCCAACAGCAGGGATTACTTCCATACCAGCCTTTGGAAATCTGTGTTGTGGGTATGGGCAAGTATGGCAGAAGGCCCAGGTGCATTGAGGAAAGGGGCACTGATGCTGCTGCTTCATCCCAGCACATCCCCAGTGAAGATGAGGGCACCTCAGCACAAGCTCTTCCATCATCACACTGCTTCTTTGCATCTAAGCCCTCATCTCTGCCATGCCACCGGATAAAACCTGCCTTATATACATTAATACCTCTTATAAACATTAATTTGACAATTGCCAGCACAGCAGCTGCTCTATTCTTAATGAAAAACACAAAGATCATCCTGCCCTTCCTCCCCTGTTTCCTTTCCCAAGCTTCACAATCCCCTGCACTAATTCACAGAGACTTTTCCTTCCTCCTCCAAACAATTGCTAGGGTTATAATTATTCTTCCATTCATTTTGCAGGAAGTATTCCCCCTTCTATAAGCTTTGCTCTTCACCCACCCCTTATACTTCTTCCTAGGTTACATCCTCATTGGCCTGTTCCACCTTTTTCAGTAGCTGCTCCCAGCTCCATAAGCCAAGGTTGGTTTTCACCTGGTGGTGGGAATCCCTGCCTGGGTACCCAGAGCTGCACCTGTAGCAGAAGTGGCGGAAGTGCAGTCTAAGTGGCAGCAAGGGCACACATGGGACTTCCTCTCCAGAACAACAACCTCAGCTGTAGCTGCAGTTCACCCTTACCTGAAAGACTCTGGAAAAATTAAGGCTCTTTTCTTCATCGACCCACATACTCCAGGTCTGTGTTACCTTGCACCAGCTAAAACATGAATGCAAAGCACTCTGTAATCCAAAACTCCAGCACAACAGCTGGATACAGGCAGCAGGGAAAGGATTACCAGGAAGCACCACTGCTCTGCATGGCCTTACCTTGGCATCTGCTTTCCTAGGGGCAGGCTTTCTGGAGGTACTGTTACAGAGCTGCAAGGGGGGTCTCCAAGGAAGCAATGAAGTGGCTTTGCCACCATCTGAGCATGGGAAAGGAGGTCAAGCAACTCAGCTGAAGAACGAAATGAAAGGGCAATGCCGACAGCACTTTGGAGTAGCTAGGGACTGTCCAGCCACTCAGCATGGCAGCAAGGGTGGGACAGGCCAGGGCAGCCTAGGAGTGATATATTCCTCACAATAAATAGAGCTGCTCCCCTCTACCAGGACACACACATCTAATCCAAACCCTGCTGAATGTAAAATAACTTCTACAACCAAACAAGATGGCTCAACTGCTTCCCAACTCCTTTCAGTTTTCCTTCTCAGTCACAAAGAAATAGAGAGATACAAAGACTGCCATTCTTAATAATTTCCTTCTTCCCACAATACTCAGACTCGACAGCCACCAGTGCCCTAGCAGACAGCCTGCCGTTTACCAACATGCCGCATACAGCTCTTCAACCAAGTCTTAGTTTATAGGACAGGACCATTCAAAAAAATTACATTAGAGTACATGCAGTGTTTCGGCAAAATGCAACACATTTTGTTTGCCACAATTTACCACCTATATTGTTTTTCCAAAAGTATTTTTTTGTGCAGGTCAAGGAGTGAGTGAAGACAGAGAGACTCAGTCCTTCAGGATGCACTGAGGACTGAAGAGAAAGGGATCCTATTGCTGCCAGGGGCTCAAAGCAGCCTGGCTTTCCTGCTTGTTGTCAGTCTGTTGTAATCCCTGGACTCAAGCTATATAGCTTATAACCTTTTATACTCTAAAGATGAGTATGTGCATGTGAGTTTGGTCCTCACATGCATTTCCCTGCTGCCATCTCGTGTCATGCTAGAAAGAAAGTTCAAACTCCGTGTTTACCAGCTCTAACCACCCCTTTCTAAAGCTTCCCAGGCACAAGCAGCTCTGCAACACACACTCACTCCACACTAAAGTGCTGTGAGGCTGGCAGTCACCCAAGCAGTGTGGGTTATCTAGGGACAAGAATGACTGAAATGGTTCCTGGTTTGCAGGGGCCAGTGAGGAGACACCAGATTCCCAAATCAAAGATGGGGAACGCTTTAATCACAGAGCAGAAATACATCTAAGTGATAAAACCTTCTTTCTTGAACAGAGACAGAGGCATGTGAAGGAAAACTTCAGGTTAAGACATCTCTTTCCCACAGCAATGGCCAGTGGTTTCCTTGGTTGTCACACAGAGTTCATAGGCCAGGCTACCAACTGGGCTACCACCACTCCTCTAAGAAGGGGAGAGATCCCACTCTCTAAGAAATATTATAGTCTATCCACACATTAAGAAATGATTGCTCAAAGCAACAAATATAATTATCTGATTTCCTGGACAAATTCAATGTGAATATCCATTAGAATAATTTCCAGTTCCGTTGTGACCCTGGAAATATTCTGAACTACTTTTTTGAAGGCCTCAGGGCAAAATTTTTTTTAAAGTTGCTTTGATGGACCACCATCTGCTCTGGATACAGAGTGCATACCATCTTGGTATATTCGTTGAAGAATTTACTGGAGTATGTGAAAAGTTGTGATAGAGATGGTTTCCCACTCCCCGGTTTCTACAGCGATATACTTCACAACACTCACATCTGTTTCTGTGGGAAGCTGTCTCAAAGCTTGAAAAAATTCAGGCTGAAACACCTAGCTCCCTCCCCATTAAATGAAAGATAATCATACATTTCCAGCTGGATGTCTGGAGAAAAAACAACAAAAACAAAAACAAAAACCTAACCCCAAAAATCCAGACTATACCAGACAAGACAGAAGTGTTGAACATTCACCAAAACAGAAGCAAAATCTGAATTATGCAAGTGGGGAGAAGCGTTTGGGTACCTTTTCCTAGAAAATGTAAGCTAGCATCTGGGCTAACAGCTGAGCTTCAAAGCACAAGGCTGTCATACATCTGGTGATCTAGCTACCTCTTCACAGTTTAGAAATATCCCAAGCAGCAGCTCATTGCCTCCTGTAAGAATTCTGGTTAGCCAAGCAGAGCGAAATATCTGGCACTAGAGGCAAGAATGAATGGCACACACATACGATGACATCCATGCTTGTTCTTCCTGGAGCCTTAAATTGAATCAGACACAACAAAATCAATCTGGCTTGGTCAATGAGGAGTACAGACAAAATCAAAAAGCCTTCTACATCTCTAGGTACATAACATGGGAAATATTTGAGATGCCACAGGTCAGTGCCATAGTCCAGAGTATTTAAATGGTCATCACTACTTTGTCCTTTCTCCTGCCTTGAATCTCACCAGGCGCAATCGCAGCCCCTTGCAGCTGGAACAAAGCCATCCCTTGCCCCACACGGATGAAGTACCTTGGTTTTACCCAACTGCCAATCTCTCTTGCTGCTGTCATAGGTCTGAAGAAAGCCTGCACATACAGCTTTGCTGTTGACTGAGAAACTTGGCCCCTTCACAAGCATCTTGTACCTAAGAACCAAAGAAAATCTCATGAGATTATGTATGATAGTCACCTGCCCCCCCCAGCCTCAATCTTGTAACTCTAATTATCCTCCTCCCATTAGTCCTTCTTCCTCTGGGACCTCCCTTCTTTGTCTTTGCCTTCCAATCTGAAAATTTCCATCCCCCAACCTTTATCTGTTCCTACCACACTGGCAATTATTGTTGCAATCCCAGTAATAAAATACAAACTCCACAGCATTTTTCAGTAAAGAACAACTATCTTTCTGAAACATGTGCTTTCATGAGACACAAGTTACTTTGTTTAGTATAGGGGTGGCATTTAATGCTCTAAGAGACAAAGGAAGCAATGTTCAATGGTCCCTTCCACCCCTAAACTTCAAGAAATCCTTTTGATGCAGCTAATTAAGAGAAATAATCTCCTTTTCCAATATTAGTCATCAACTGTACAGTCCACTAAAGTTGCTTCACCCTGCTAGATTAAAGGTTTTAAGATTGATATTTTCTTTTTACGTATTACGAACAGCTGGGTTTCACAGCATCACACAAACAAATCTGTGGCAAAGCTACAATAAAAAAAAATTTAATGGACTGTCTGGCTATTTTTCCATTCTGACTTTTACCCTAATGGCAAGACTCTAAAAGGACTTCAAATCAGTGTATGAACTTCAAATCAGTGTATGATATGGGCAATAAGGGCATGGTTAGAAAAACATCCCACAAATTATCCATATCAGTAACAGCAGTTATAGAGGGAACAAACATACAGGATCATATACCTCGGGGCTGTTACAGCATGTGGTACAATGAGAGCAATTACCTGCTGAGAAAGTCCTGGAAAAGGCGCCGTATAGGGAAACCTGCTCTCCGAACTTTCACTGTCTCCAGCATCCCTGAGTACCGGAGCTGATTCAGCACTACATCGGGACTGAAGAGGTTTGGTGCCTACATCACGATCCAGATTCAAAAACAAGTAAGAATAGAGACAGAATAAGTGTTGATCTTGGTATTACTTCTTTGCTGACTTGAACAGTGACTGCTTCTCTGAGCACAGACAGGTACTGGTTGTAGATCTGTTTCTCTGTAGAGAGCCTGAATAGCTGGGCATGCCAGGTGAATAGGGGGGAGTTTGAGTCAAGGGGAAAGCAACCACACAACACTGCACGGTGCAGAAAAAGGGATGAGAGGGAATTGGGCAGAGCCTGGAAAAAAACAGTCTGCTGACTGCTGTCATAGTTGGATCATGGCAGCAAAGCAATGATCTAATGCACTAACACAAGCAAAATGCAGAATTCTGACTCAGTTCTCTTTGCGGTCTCTCTGCAGTCAAACTGGAGACAAACTGCAGAAGTGTTTTCTGGCATAAACCCCCAGTAGGCTTTCCTCTGCCATATCATACACGGTTTCAAAATGATCAGTTACACAAAGAAATGATCAGTTCAGAGCTCCCCCCCCAATCTAGTTAGTAGCATAGCCTCCTGACACAATTCACAATAGCCAGCCTGTCTCCAAGCACTGTGACTTGCTCATGAAGCATCCACCTCCTCTGCCTCAGAGCCAGGGATCTGCAGGAGACACTTCCTACTGCACAGGCCCTGCATTCCACAACAAATTGTCCACAGCAACCACAAACAGGAGCGATGGCTTCTTCTACCACAGCTCTGGGCTCTACACAAGCCTGGTTCAGCTTGCAGGCTTCACAAGCACATCAAGAGGTGGGAATGGCTACATCATATCATACTCAGCATGCAGTCTTTTCATCTGATTACCAGGAGAAGGGAATATATCTCCTCAACTATAAAACAACTGAAAGGAAAAAAGGAAGGTAAAGAGTAACTGCATGCTTGTGTCGCATGCATACATTTTGCTGGAAGACAGACTTGCCTTTTCTGTATTTGGTTTGATGCAGCGGATGAAGAATGGGTTGGAAGTACTAAGCGTGGCCATCAGGGAATGGAGAGAATCCTAAAAAGCAGCAAGACAAAACCCAGAGGATCAGTCACTACAGAGGGAACGGGGCTACATTTGATGCAATGGGGTCTTCATGCAGCCCTCTCATTCCTAATGTCCTTTGACTCTGCCTACCAAAACTTCAGTAACCCAGGAGATCCCTTCCTGTCCAAAACACCCACGCAGTTAGTTTACTCTAACACCATTTACATGGCCATCCTTGTTCTCAGAGCTGTAGAGCTGATGTGAGTTATTTTTACAAGCCTTTCAAACTTTAAATATATGAAACAAAAAATGTGAAACTACCAGAAGGTTTGCAGATTATCTAGGGGGTGAGATTCATACCTGCAAGGTCCCCCCTATAAGGTTTTACTGGAATTGCCACTATACCTGTAAAAGATGTGGCCTAAAAGGACACATGCACTTAGCTGAAACATCAAACCAATATGAAAGATCAAAGAACCTCAAGAACTTCATACAGTTAGCAAAGTATTCTTTTCCTCTGCCACCCTGCTCAGTCTTAGCATCTCACATTTCACACCAGACAGAAATCCTTGGGGCAGCGGCACTGTCTTTTTTTAGCGCTACAACATTCTTGCACATTTTCAGTGCTGGACACAAAACAAGGATGAATGACTCCTCTTGGCTGCAGGCCTCACTTTACCCATCTGCTCCTCCTCAGAAGCCTCCTGCTCTCTTGGAAAACATCCTACCCTGAACTGAGAACTGACAGTTGGTCTGCGCCTCTGGGTGCCCATCCTCAGTGTCTCTTCACTGCAACGACTGCAGACTCTTTCAAAGAGGTCATAGATGAAGTCCAGCCTAAGGGAGAAGAGTTAAAGAACATGTAAGACACCCACCATCTGGGAGAAGATGGCTCTCATTCTCAGCTGCTGCCCTGTTCCAGTGTGAAACACCTCATTTTTATCCCTGCTGTGCCTGCAGAGTGGCTGCAGGAGGTGGCTCAGTTGGGCACGTCAGTGAGGAAATTAATTCTTTCCATGTGGCTGCCCAGACCCCATGGGCTGCCCTGTAGGCCACACTCGGCAGCAAAGGCAGAAACCCCATCTCACGCTGTCAAGCAGGAAGTTACGCAAAGGAAGATCTCCATTCTGCACTCCTTAGGACACCCCCTCGAAGTACATGCCCCATGACTTGCTCAAGCAATTGCAACCACAGCCCTTCTGTGGCCAGAGGACTTCTAGAGTCACCCTCAGTGTAGGTCAGCTCTGGGGAATCTTCCGCTGTTTTGCCACTCCTTGGACAGTGGTGCTGGTCCTTACAAAGTGGCAGAAAGTTCTCCAGCACTTCTTGTGCCAGTTTATTGTTATGACTGCTTCCAGCAGAATTTCCCTTTCCGGCTTGTTGAAAAACCCTGAGTCCTTCTATTATGCTGGACAATCACGACCACAATTCTGGCTTCAAGCCCTGTGTAAAATGTTCCCCAGATGCCACTGTCCAAGTAAGGCAGCTATGAGCAGCCCATACCCTCAGCTCCCTCAGGTTGTTTCAAGGCTGCTCGCAGGGCAAACTCTGCAGCAAGCTTCAGAGAAGATGCAGTTCTGAAACAGTCTCATCAGGCAGGAGCCCAAAGGCAATACATGGACTGTGGTAAAAAAGGCACGTGGTAGAGTTGCTACTCAAAAACTTCAAGGGTCCACCATGTTATTAAATGCTTCTCTCCTTCTGCTAAGGCCCCACCTCTGCCTTCCAGACCTTGATCAAGGTCAAAGTCAGCTCACTTCTCTAGGGTCATGTTGCATCACTGGGATATAGTATTAGGGGTCATGCCCGGTCCCACAGTGAGGACTCATTCTGGCTCAGGATGAGGACGGAAGCTCTCCACTAACAAGCAGGCTGAAGAACAAGCAGCCTCTGCAAAAAAGTTGGCATTGTACAGCATGCCAAAGAGCCTTGACTCATTCAGGGGCAAATCTGTCATTGTTGGGACACAGAGGTAAGAGGAAGAAGAGGAAAGGGAGAAGAGAGAAGGGAGAAAACTAGCATTGCCTGGAGAGACTTCTGTCATGCTTTCATATCTCTTTCAAAACTGGGACAAGAAGAGTACTGATTAAATCTGTGCATCATCTGACTTTTCCAGCTCTCCTTTCTTTTGCCAGGACACTTAAGCACAAAGAAGAATGATAAAGAATGATGCATGATGCTCAGACAAAAGCAATGACTTTCCTTGATCTGGTTATTACATGAATGTGGCTTAAGCCTCCTCACAAGCACAAAGGGGCCATACCTGCTGTCTTTCAACATATTTAAAATGTCATCTCGAAAGGTGTCTCTGTTCTTCTCCAGGAAGCCTCTCACATCATATAGCACCTGCAACACAGACAGAGCCACTAGAAAGTGCAGTACAAATCATTAAGCACTTCAACATTAACACGCCAAGGCACAAGACCTTCAGCAGAGTTACACAGAGGTGCTTCAGGCATGTGCCAAGACCCAAACTTATGGGGTCAAAGAGCTCCAGACCTCTGCAGTTACTGGCAAGAAAGTGACTTTTAGCCCTTAATCAAAACAAAACAAAACAAAACAAAACAAAACAACAACAACAACAACAACAAAACCCACCAAAAAAACTCCAAGCAACATCTGCAGAGATTTGCCTGAGGGGTGTGTGTGTGGGGGAATCCTCTGCAAGGTGTGGAGTAACCATTCAGTTGAGGAAATACCGACTATGCCACCCAGGGCCCTGACCTCCCAACCACTGGTGCTCAGCAGAGACAATACCAGGAGGGGGTTAGCCCTTCTTTAGTGTGCAGGTGCCCTTCTTTGACACACCTCAATCTGCTCCCTATCTCTCCACAACAAAGAGCAGCACTTAACCATGAAGGCTTGGAGACCTTTTCCTTTTTGCAATAGGTATTTAGCATTTTCCCCTCCTCCCCAAAAGTCAGTTTTTCCATGTGAGTTTTACTTTGGGTTTTGTTTGTTTGTGGATGTCCAAGAAAAGACAACATGAATAACAGAAGTAAGGAGGAGTTTATTCCCCAAACCAAAAGTTACCTGAGAAACTCAAATATTCAAGCTGGACAATGTATTACTGGAGAATTATGTGCTATTTTAAGCCCATCACATTCCCTGCACTCTGGTACAGGGCACTAACTGTGCAGAAACACACAGCTGTGAGAGATACTCCTGATTTCTGGAATCTAAAAATCCAGGACCTCAAGCACAAGTGCGAGCATCTCACAGACACGCCATGAACACCTACCTCCCCAGCGTAATGTCGTATGCCAAACTGATGGTCTGTTACCCGAGGCTTCACATAGTATTGGTTGCTCTGAAATAGAAGAAAAAAAAGTCTTCTTATAATGCCAAAGCAAGAATCAATAGGGTCAGTCAGGAACTCTGCCATGACTATGACAATGCTGGGATGGGCAAGGACTTCAGCTCTTGCAGACCACATCTGCTGCAGTTATCTGCAGCTACATTACAAACATGTTATTCCAATAAGATGGAAAAATCCAACCCTTCAAGGCATTCCTCATGTGAGCAAGGGCTTGCAGAATCAAGGTTGGGCAGGCATGCCATGGATGAAATGTTAATTCTTGCATATCTGACACCTGAGGAGACTGCGCTCTACACAAACCACGTGGTGTAGAACACAGGATCAGGATACAGGGAAGATGGCAGCCTTGCAGAACACCTACACGTCTTCTTTGTTAGAGGAAATACCATACCAATCTCCTGTCTTCCTCTGTATTTCATCTTTCTTTGTACCTCTCTTCCCTTTTTTCAATATTCATTTTTCCTTTCTCTTACTAGCTGTTCTACTCTCATTTTCCCCCTCCTTTCTTTGTTCTATGAAAATCATTAACTATGTAAGAACAACCCTGAGACCAATGGTCTATCCAGCTGAGTTTTTGCCTCCAGCAGTGGCTCTGTAGGGTAGAGTAAGAACAAGGAAAAGTAAACGATACTTTCATCCTAATACTCTCTCAAACTCCCAATTATTTTCATGAGGTCTGCTTAACTAGTAACCCCCAGTGGATTTCTCTTTGAAACTTGCTCACTCCTCACCTGAACCCATGCAGACAAATTTACATTTATCTACACTGCTTTTCATCCTCATTTTACAACAAAATCAGTCTCGTAAGGCCCCTTACAGTCCAGTCCTGCCCTGTGAACCATCAGAAAACTGCCACCTCAGTCTTACACCGGACAGTCTTACAGGCCTCCCTCCATTGAGGTAACTGACCATTTATATTCTGTGAATTTACCCAATAGTGAAATAAGGATTACAGGCCTCTAATTTCCTAGAATACTTTCCAAAAATTAAAATAATTTCCCACCTTCTCAGATACAAGTACTAAGAAAACTTTAAGTGAGATGTTGTGCAGTATTATCAGTAATCCAGCTCTTTCATCTTCAGGTTCTCTTGGCAGTGTTCAGTGGATGGCTTCTGACCCTGATAATTTGTTACTGTTATTGAAGACCTTTTCTTTGCCTTTTTTCCTTTTCATATTGATCCTACTTATTTGCTATTCCCTTTCCCTAATCCAGTCATCTTTTTCCAGCCACAAACTTCCCTCTCTCCCACTCCAGACATGACTGTTACTGACTCTCATGTGGACTGGCACCCTCCTCTCCCCCTTTACCAAGTCCTTATATTTCATCCATGCTTACAACACTTCTGGTTCCTTCCCCCATATCCCCTATTACTCCTCTCCCCACTTGTATCAGAAGTCATATTCTCTTAAATCCCAGCTCTGTGCCTTTCCTCCTTAAGCCTATTGCAGTGCACAGAAAACAAAGAGAAGAGGGCTTGTTCTCTTATATCCTTCAGGCTTTCCAGCAATGCTGGCTGAAGGCTTTCCAGTTCTCTTCCAGCCAGCACTAGAGACTTTAACACTTTCACCTTCAAAAAATGCAAACCCTAGAGCACCATCTACTTCATCATTTCTCCCTGCACTCAACAACTCAGCCTCTTCCATCTCTCGTAAGCTCCCTAGAGTTCCACGTTAACTGCTATCCCCTCAAAGCAGACAGAGGTGACTATGAACAGCTTAATGAAAAGGCTACTCAATGCACAGAAATCACCAGAAATAGCAACCAAAATGTTGTGGGCCATAAAGGAATGCAAAATAATGCTGACAGTCTCATGCTGCTGTACAATAAACCACAGGTACCTGCTTACCAAGGGAACTGCATTCTGGTCTGATTATTTATCTCAGAAAAGAATAGAGAAAAGATGTAGAAGAATTCAGAGACAAACAGCAGAAAAAGATAGGAGCTTAAAAATTTCTCCATTTGGAGACAAACTGAAGAGGTTGGCACAGTTCAGAAAGAAAATTTGAAACAAATGAAGTATTAAAAATATTCATACGTTCTGTATTAAAAGTTAACAAAATATCAACAACAATAAAATAGGTAAGTCAGGCATTCTCATAGACCGTGACCTAAAATACAAGGGAAAGCTACAGCGGACTAAATTGAAGGCATCAATTTAAGCCTAAAGAAAGGAAATATTTCCACAAAACTATGTGTAAGTAGCCAACCAGAAGTCATTGCTACTGTATCCAGTTCATAGTTGTTATTACTAGCAGAGTTAGATGCAAATATGAAAAAATGAGAACATCTGCATCTATGCCAATTCAAAAAAAACGCTGGCTAAAGAAGACAAATGTGTATGTTTTCAGCTTGGATGAAGCCTGAATTAGGGGATCAGGAAACATATTAGCTGACAATGTTCTTTGTAAACTAGTAAATTATTCTGTAAGTCCCTGCTACAGGGTTTCATTTGCTTTGTTTTCAGTCTGTTTACTTTTAAGATCAGAGTGTTGGCTGTACCAGAGACAGGGTAAGAGACTGTCACAGTGATCTCACTGTGGTTTCTGTGTCCCCAGGATAACTTTCTGACCTGCACAAAAAAGCCCTTCTACCCGTGTCCAGAATACAATAAAGAGGGGGAAATAATTTAATTAATTAGGAACAATAAAAGAGCTTTCATTAAAAGTCATGAGGCAAAAGCCATCCCCAGCCCAAGGAGACAGAGATTTGACGTGCTCTGGAGCAGACTCCTGTGAGTCAGCTGGCAAGAGAAACCCATGCACACTGTGCAGCCACATCCTGTGCCTGGGGTGCTGCCTCATGTCCCGTCACAGACCAGCAGAACCTGGCCTCCAACCCATGCTACAAATTCAAATCTCCTCTTCCCACAGACTGTGGAATGCACACTCCCTCTCTCTGTGTGCACAAGAGACCATTTGCAGGTTTCTTCACATACTACTTTTGTTCAGTGCAGCCTTATTAAACACTCAGAGGTTTGGGATAAGGCATTTAAATTTCCTGCACAAAGCACATACTTTGCATCAACAAAACCTTCACTTTCAGTTTTGAAATGCTGATGGGACTAACATACTGATCATTTGCCTGCCGGGTTATTTTCTTACTTACCATATGCTGGCTGTGAAGTTTTTCCAGAAGGGTGTTGTCTGTGCCTTTGGGGAATCGACTCTCTTCATTCACCAAAGCCAGGAGACCCAGTTTCTACAGCCATACAAGAGACAGGCTTTTACAGTCAGCAAAAGCTCTAACTGCACAGCACCAAGCCAAGAACTGGAGATCTGGACAGCACATTGAGCAATAATCCCAGAGTTATACCCAGCAAAGCTCAAGCTGAAAGCAGAATTCTGGCCAGTCAATGCATTCAGCAAGCAGAATGTTAGTGAAGATTATTTATTTTAAAAATCACATTTCCTTAAATGTTGCTCCCTGTCTAAAACTCCGACACCCTCCCTAAGCTTAATTTCAACAATGAAAAGAGATCTGCTTTCTTGAGCTGGCACTATGGCTAGAACAGCTCATACAATGGGAAGAGGATCTAAGCAACTACTTGCTGTTTTTAAAAACAAGAAACCCCAGGGAAGGTCTTAAGACAAACAGCAGTCCTCATTGTGATCCCTGAAAACTGTCACAGATAACTGCTCACCTTCTCGATAAGGTCCAGGCACTCAGCATTATCCATCCAGTCAATGGCTTCCCAGTTTATCCCTTCCCTGACAGTCAAGAACAAACAGAATAAAGATGTGAAATGCAAGATCCAGTGCCCTGAGGTGCAGAACAGAAGTAGCTGAGCATGGCAGCTGTCCCAGGACTCAAGATGATGTGCACAAATTAGGCTTTGCCATGGCTGAGGAAAAAGAACAGGACGCACAATGCACTGCTAGAACAAAGAGACAGAAGTAGGAGACAGTCTTTCTTATCCATCCCAGTGATTTAGACTGATGCTTATCTTGTAGTCACTAAGCAAATTTCACACCAAGCTCTATGAAATAGTTGCTCTCAGTTGCTCTTTTGGGAGTGATGAGCATCAGCCCAAGTGGTGGTGATGATGGACAGTTTGCTACAAGAGTCAACTGCTGACCCACCGACCTGGAAAGCAGGCCTGAAGCCAACTGCCAGGAGAGTGAACCACAGTTCATAGGTCCACAAGAAGAAGAGACAGGAACAACTTTTCAGGGAGACTTTTGAAGAGGACAACACAGATAAGCTTTGGCCTGACATGCAGGGGACCTACAGAGTGGCCCTGCATCTTTCAGAATGGGAGCTGATGTAGGTACAAGCAGTGCAGTTAGTGTGCTTTGAAAATGATCCATTAAATTCTGTAAATCTATGCTGAGTTTTCCCCTTTTTACCACACTCCCATAATACAGGCTGTTTCTGTTTTCAGAATTGAGAGAAGCTGGGGAATAACTTGCTCAGGAATCCAAGGAAGACTACAGGCTATGTGTGAAGCTACTTCCTGACATACTGACACAGACACCTCGCAGGCACAGGCTGATGTTTTGAAGATAGTGAAGCTGTTGTCTACAAACTCTTTCAGCCTTGGCTTCGTACTTTCATGTTCAAAGCATTTAGAAACCTGTGGGCAACAGCAGGAAGCAACAAACTGGAATAATTTCTGAAGAATGGAAAGAACTATCTATGCCCCACAGGAAACAGAGTACCTTATCCACTTAATGACAAAAAATATCAGGTCACAGTGTTTCAGAAGTCTGCAGCAATGGGTGTCAGAGAGACCATACATTTTTACAGAGAGACTTATTGGCTTCTTTCTAAGAGCAAGAAATCCTTCCAGAATTGAAGGGAGCAAAGTTTTCTGAAACAAATCAAATCAAGTTGTCTCTAGTGCCACAGACCTCTTGTCTAATCGAATTATGAAATACTCAGAGCAACTTACTAAACCTGAGGAAGCAGAGCTGATACTGTGAAAGATGAGCTTTAATCACGTCACCCTAGAATAACGTGATGAGTAGACAATACTAAAATTCTCTTGTTCTTTCCAAAGTTCAGCCACAGAACTTCAACTCCTATGTAATCATCAGGAAAAAGTCTTTTGTCACGATGATACCATACCATTCTTAACACAAGCTTCCTGCAATGGTGGAATTGGCCTGAGAAGTGAGTGCACAAATAGCCTTGCAGTTTTGTAATCCTTAGAATTTCATGAATTGCCTATTCAACTGTCTCCCTTTACAAGGCTGTTCTCATTTGCCCTCACTGACCCTATTCAATTGCTTCATTCACAAACATAAAGGCTTCTGTTTCAGAGCAAGAACTGAAGTATTTGTCTAGCAGCCTTCTCTAGAAGGAGAAATACTCTAGAACATCCCAGGTACTTCACAAAATACAATCCAGCGTGAAGCCCACAGAAGAGAAACAGCTGTGCAGAAGGTCCCATGTTCTTTAAGCTCAGGAAACAGCCCAATTTAAATCTCCTTGCTGAGGAAAGATTCCTTTTCACAGCACAGGACTCTCTAGGACAGAAAGAGCTGTCGGATATCTATTCTTCTATCTTTAGGAATTTTAATTTTTGCACACTAGGATTCCACCTGCATAGCAACACCACTACCTTAGGCAAATCAGTACTGAAGTCAGTAATAAGGCCAGTGACTGTGTTTTAATAGGTTAAAATCCTCCCATTCAGCTGAGAAAGAAGGGAATTTGTACTTTCTAAATACTACAGGGGAAAAAGCTTTTGCTTGGAGACAAGTGATGTATGCTGGCAAAGCTGTCTTCTTACAGAGACACATCCACAGTCCAGGTTGCACAAAGGCCTAGCTGCCTCTCCTGCCTTAGTGGAGGAATGATGTCCTCTGTTCTGCCCCCCATGAAAGCAGTAGGGGGCCATTCCCTCCATTTGTCACCTGTTGTACTCCAGCTGCTCCAAGGAGAAGATGTGTTTGTTGAAATACTCTTGGAGTTTCTCATTTGCATAGTTAATGTTAAACTGCTCAAAACGGTTCACCTGTAAGAAGAAACAAAGGTTATAAAACTTAACATTCTTGTCTCTGGGCTCTAGAAAAACCTGTAACAACGATGGGGAAGGTGCTAGGCACAAAATAAAGCCTGAGAGCATAGAGGCAAGGAGTGTCAGATGGACATGAGGGGGACAGTATGTGGAGGTCCATTAGGAGAACACTTTTGTAGCTCATGCAAGGTTAGTTCAGTAGGCCTAAGGTAGTAAAGGATGCTAAGGCAATCACATTTTTCCCCTTCTTAGTAAGAAAGAAATATAATTCCCCAAGTGTTAGGTGACTGGGCTTTCTCTTCTGTGAAACAGATATCTGAGTGGTCACTATATGGCTGTTCATCCCTCATCAGTTGCAATCAGAAGCATTACACACAGGATTCTCAACAAAAAGCAAAACAGATGTAAACAACAATGTGCATGTAGGAGTTTGATATTTAATTTGTATACGAGTCAAAAATTCAGTATTACCTATCACAGCACATCTGCTTAGGGTCTGTGTCACAAACCAGACTTTGAACATCAGCCTATATGAATACAAGCAGCAGAAATGGGCAGCTGAATATATCTTGCTGATCCCAGAGGGAAGTGGTAGTGGAGAAATCACAGAATGCCCTATGCTAACCTAAACAGGATACAAACATACCAAAATTCCTTCCTATATGCACTGACATCTCCAAAACCAACCCACACTGCAAAAGAAAATCCTGACCTGAAAGTTCTCGAAGCCAAAGATATCCAGGATGCCCACAGACTTAAAGTTTTCCTTGCCTTTGATCTTCGTATTAATCTTGTTAATGAGCCATGAAAAACACTGGGAATACAGCGCCATAGACAGGGAGTCCCTGGAGTCAGCTGCCTGTAAATGCAGAGAGAAAAAACAAGTCACAGGGAGAAAAGCAGGCATAAGGGGTACCATGAATCTCTATGGGACTTCAGGTTCCTCCACTCCTCTTTAGATGTCTCAGCATCTGTACTGGTTGTGCATGGTGCAGTATTTATATGTACAGTCAACATTCAAGTTTGCAAATAGCCCATCCACACACAGGTGTACCATGCCTGACCTTTAGGTAACTGAACTCGAGAGACTGAAGGAAGTAGCAAAATCCTTGACACCTTTTGGAACAAGTGCTGGGGCAGGGAAGGTCACAAAATACATCATGACTGAGTCCGCAGCAGTCATTTGCATCACCTGAGCCAACATTTGCAGTGACAGACAAGGTGTCTCGGTTCAGTACTCCCAGCAGGGCTGTCAAATGCGTGTCCACTCAGTTCTTCAAAAACCGGTAGGGCAAGATTTAATAGAGTATTCTGTCACCAAGTTAGCCTCAAAAATCCTCTCTCCAAAGCTTTCCTGCAAACAGCATTATCTTAATGGAAGCCAGGGTAGGCTGTCCAACAGCCAGGACACATGCCCAGAAAAGCATGGGTTGAGAGACCCTTCTGGAACTGACCCAACATCCCATGCAGTGATCATAACAAAGTGTCACAGGTGGAAAAAAGAATCTGAATTGTGATCAACAGCAGGCAGTAGGTAATTGAGTGCATGTAAGCATGTGGATGAATGTCTGAAATTGAACTTTTGAAATCTCATGCAAAAGCCTGCTACTTGATTGCTGTAAGATTTTATAACACTTGGACTAAACAAAAGTGGCCTGCCCCAAACCCTCTAATTAATAAAAAGACATGAGCCAGAACCACAAATTAAGAGGCTGATCACATGCTGTCCTGCACATACACTATTTAGACTAGGAAATCAGGGCTTAAGATTCTGGAAAGACAAGGAGGCCAGAAATAAGGATTCCCAAAAATATGATCCCAGAGAGTAGAAAAGGGGCTAGGAAAGAAGGTGGCAAAGGTCTTGGCTGGAAAAAAAAAAAAGATGCTGGAAGTGGGACAAGATCCTGGAGATCAGAGACATATGGAGACAAATGTCAGGGTATGCCCAAGGACTGGCTAGCAGTTCCTGGGACTGATGACTACAAGGAGCTACACAACATGAACCAACACAACCTTCTGCCTGACGCTCCTGGACAAGCAGCAATCTCTCTACTGGAATAGATGTTGGCACGTAGCGAATGTGATGCTGAGGGGTGAGTGAGAAAGTATGTGAAATAATCAAATAGGGTAAAAGCTACAATCTTGTCATGTCATAAACCACAGTATCTAGATCAATTACAGGCTGCTTACTGTGTCTTGGCTGTGACACCAGGGTAATGCCTTCAGTGGGCCTAACCAGCAATGCACCCTAAATGCACCCTTACTCTCTTCAGTTTTACAAGCTTGACTAACACAACCTCTCCTGCTCTGCTTTGCTAATGGCACAAACCAACTGCCTCTGAATCATCCCAGCCCCTCTCAGCAAGCGTCTGAGGCCCAGCCTGCAAGACCCTCCTTTTCACCCTGTCTCACTGTTTGTCTTCTTTCTCTTCCTGGGTAGTATCTCCACTACAGGAGCCCAAGGCCTAGGACACACAACAACCTCCCTTCTCCACAGAAGAGAACATTTCAAAACGTGGGCACACACACCTTTTCTGGTTAGTTCTCTCCATCAGATGGTCTGTCTTATTAGTTGGGGCTAAGAATGCCCTCAAGGCCATGCCTCTGTAGTGTCTCTGGCTACACAGTAAGTTGGACTCATTTTCCAGGAACAGGACCTCCCCAGCCAGCTGTAAGCAAAGCCACTTTCCCCACAATATGGTTCAAATGAGATTCTCAAAGGCTCCTTTCATCCTCCAAGCTTTGCCCTCCTTCAGGCCAGTTCATCCATTCAGCCCACTGAAATGTCAAAGCTCAGACAGGCGACGAGTTCATTACACAATGAGAAATCCCTGGCAGCTCTATCGATGCGCTCCCGCAACAACAAGTGGCAAGAGGTGGGCACAGTACACGGAGGCTTCAGTGGGAACAGTCCTTACAGATCCAGTGTTCAGTGCCACAGGCCCATCTAGTGAAGACAGCTATGCAGCAGCATCCACTTGCTACAGCCATTTTATTGCAGGCTTCGTACTTCATTGGGCTGCAAGCAGCAAGTGTGGGGTCTAACATGCACAAATGTCAGGAATGGCTGCACTATCAGGGAAAGCTCTGTTCAGGGAGACTCTTGTAAATCCTACAACTGTTGCTTTGGGAGTGTATGGAGCATCTCTGGCATTATTTGCTATCCATCTTTATGCACTGATATAGAAAGATGTGGCTTATTTAGGACAGACAGCTGAGAAGAGAAGCTATGGTACTGGATATTGAGGATATCTACCACAAGCTACAAGCTGAAAAATAATTTTTGCACAATATCACTGCAAAGAAAGGTCACAGACTATGAAAAAAGATACCATTTATTAAAGGTAAAGCGTAGTTCGTGATATATTAGTAAGTGTGTTTGCAGCAAGAAAAGAAGCGACTAGTCTTGCTGTAATGAGCACTGCTGAAACTTCAGCTTGAATACAGTGTTCAGGTATAGGCACTCCACTTCTTGAAAGATGTGGGAAAACAGAGACAAAAGAAGAAGAAGAGGAGATTTAGAAAATTACTCAAAAGAAAACATTGAAGGAACTAGATTATTTAGCTTAGAAAAGAGAACACCACGTGAAAAATTTCATAGAAGCGGAAGCTTATAAGGTGGACAGCTGGGATGTCAAAGGTAATATAAATATGAGGAAAATCTTTCCAGCTCTAGACTCCACTGCAGCTAGAGCTGGATACTTAAAGAGGCTGTGAAATTCCTTCCATGGGAAATCTGAGGGAAAGTTAGACAGACATCCGTTAGAGAGAGCCTAGTAACTCTGGTTTCACTTCCAATGTAGGGGTTAGATTGATAACCCTCTGCAGTCTGTGCCAGCACAAGATTTCCATTACAGATGTTCATTTTGCTGTAACATGTTTCTTCCATCTTAGTAGTATTATTCCTTGTTTCCCAGTGTCTTGCATTTTATTAATGACAGAAGATTTCCTACAGTTATCTGTGCATGGACCTAAAACACCAAGAGTGCCCTCAAGTGATCAGCAACACCACAAGTTCAAGTTAATAAGCACAACACTGTAATGAACCACAGAGAAATGTAACAGATAAGCAGGCCTGCTTCAGCATGCAGTACAGGTTCAGAAGGTAAGAACTACATATCTGTTTATCTGGTCCTCCTTTGTGGTTGTATGGATACACAAAGAAGTTCCATGGGGTAACAACCTACAATCTCCAGGATGTTTTGTGGTAACTGTGTGCAAGCTTTTATCTTCCAGTAAATGCAGCATAATCTGGGAGTTCTGCAAGGTGAAAGCATGCACACATGCAATTACCACAAAGCATCTGATGTACCTTCTGCATGACACAAGCGTGACCAATCCCTGGTGAGTGAAGGTGACTTAAAACCAGTATTGTACATTGCCATTTGCAAGTGAACTCCCCTGTAAAGCCTAACAAACAAAGTCAACACTGGGACCTGAACTACCAATAAGGGCAAAATACTTGAGGACACAGCTGAGCACCTAGGGGGTGTAAGAGGAAATGCTAAACTTGAATGGATGATACAAGAGGGAGATAGAGGGCCTGGAAATGCAGAAGTGGCAGAAGCAGTAGCATACACCAGGACACTTACCTGTTCCACAGTGAGAGGGGAGCTGATCTCTTCCCCACGCAGAATCATGGACCTCTGTGTCAGTACTTCGGAAAGCTGGAAGGCGTCTAAGCCCAGGAGGTCGCTGGCAATGTTCAGCACTAAGAACAAAGGAAGGACACACATTTTTTTCTCCCACATGGATCCCCATCACGCATGGGGGATCCATGTTCTGCAGCTCAGTGAGGAAATCCCAGGGACTCTTACAAGGCAAGTGACTAAGCTCCAGCACAAAACGCATTCCTCTTTACTTAATTCTCTTTGGCATACCCAAAGCTGTAAGCTCATGTATCCAGTCCAAGGCAGGAGCAGCACCCATTATGGCCACAGTCAGACACTCGTACAAGTCAGCCTTTCTGCTGACAACAGGAAGAGCAAAGAGTGTAGAGCTCAGCACCAGCAAAATATTTATTGAATGAGAAGCAATGTTTTCCTAAAGGCACAATGGTGCAGTCTGAGAGTAGGACTGCTAAACTTGGTCGTCAAGAAGAGAGATAATTAACTGAAGTCCTGAAGCAAGCACTTGTAATATATACTTATTGCTTCTGTCTCTTTAGGGATTCACTTCACCAGACCAGCTCAGATTGGATAACTGTAACAGAGTGCACACCAGCAGATGCTTCAAAGGAAGATGTGAGAAAGTCTGTAACAGACTACTTTTATCTCAAACTCCTTCCTTTTCCTATTTCTTCCTGCTCTTTCAATGCCAAAAAGAAACTGTGAGACTGTGGACTCAGCCTGAGAGTATTCAGGAAAACATATGGATCACAGGGCCACAACCCAACCAAATCATACTGTTGCTCTGGAGCCACACATCCTGTGGCAATGCTTTTGCAGGGCTAAACTGCAGAGAACCTGCTGGCAAAGGCACTGCAGATCAGCATAGCAGAGGGAGAAATGACAGCAGAGTGGGCTTTACTGGGGGCCTTACGTGACTTTGCATGGTCTACCAAGTTGCTAGGGTCCCACTTACCTGCTTTCGTTGTAATCTGGGCCCCGCCAGCTGTCATGAATTCAATGTTTCCCAAATGAAGTGTGCCAGAAAGAAGTTTGAAGATGTCTCTGATTTCTTCAGTGCTGAAGTCCACCACCTTCATGGCAGTCTATGCAAAACCATACACCTAATGTTAGCTGTACATACAGCCACAGTACAGTGCAACCCTCATACTCATGCCCAGCCTGTATAAGGTATAAAACTCAGAATTATAATCATCATGAATTGAAGTGAAATGGGATGGCACGGCCCCTCTCTCAGCTATACATCTGTCAGTGATCTTCACTGTCTCCCATTCTCTCCTACATTTACTGACTTTGAGAGGCAGGACCTAGTTTTCATGCATTTGCCCTGTAGTTCCCTTCTTTCCTCCAGGCATCTCCTCAGCTGAAGTACAAATGCCATGTCACCACTGAAACCTCTGCTACACAGGAGACATTTCCTTCCCTTAAATCACACCTAAGCAGGAGCAGTTGAAATCCCAAGCTGACTCCTCTCACCTTGCCTCTCTGGTTTCACCTACATTATTAAAGACCTCAGGATGATAACCTCTTACCAAACAAAACATGAATTGCATATTCATCATGCTAAACCCATAACCTCTGGTAAAGTTACGGATGTCTATTGAAATCAGTGTGGTATTTCAGAGTATGCCATTCACACAGGTGATACAACTCTACCCCTCTTCTGGAGAACACTACCTTCAGATCAAACTGGTCCCCTTCTCATGGTCAAGGCGAGGTTTCCTGCATCAGGCCATCTAGAGGGCTCCCATGAACCATTACAGGGTGGGAGTTCATGCTGCCCGAAGTCTCCATCATTCTAAATTATTATTCATCCTCGACTGTTTCCCAAATTCCGCCATTTCTGTACATTAATCTTCAAGACTTGTTTTTACCATAAACAGGTAATGCTGAGTTTCAGACACTTTGAACACCAAATTTTGGCTTAGCACAAATCAAGTCTGCCCGTGACATCTAGAACCTGCAGCATGTTTAGCCCATGAGGTTGTGCCCAGAAGAAGTTCAGGAGGAGTTAAGACAGGACTCACCATGACCTTACTGAACATTTCTCCATCGTTCAGGTTCTCATCAGTCACACAACCAGACTGGTTCAAGTAGTGATAAGTCTCTGGCTCAGAGAGGGAAAGGCTCTCTGCAACAGAGGAAGAAAAGGTAGGGAAGAGAAAGACAACAGTTTGTTTAGCAATCAGCCTATTCATTCTGTGATCCTGGTCCCCCAAAACAGTGTGTATGTTACCATAGGGAGCGTTAATCTGAACAGACTCCATATCCCTCAAAAGCCACACCTAGACAGTGAATGGACTGGGGAAAGGGAAGAGGAGGGTGTGCAGTAACAAAGCTTGCAGATGGTATGCAAAATTATTTAGGACAGTCAAATCCCAAGCTGCAGAGTCACAGAAGAATGTTTCAATACTGAATTTACTCAGAAAAACAAATAAAACACATGAAGATTAAATTCAATCTCATAAAGTGTACAGAAAAACAGTCTTAATATACACATACAGTAATGGCCTCTAAATTAGGTATCACCACTTGAGACAGAGTTCAGAGAGCCACAGTATGTTTTCTGAAGACATCATCTCTGTGCTGAGCAGCAGTCAAAAACTGAACACTTCAGTTCTGAACTAAAACTTCAGTTTTAGAAGGAACACAGAACTAAACATAAAACCAGAAATAGGTCTCTGTACATATCTGTACCTCAACCACATCTTAAATCCTATCTGCAGGTTTGATCTGCCATTTCAAAAAGGATAGAGGAGAACTAAAAGATCTATGGAGGAAGGAGACAAGGATGATCAAGAGCCAGAAACACACTACAGACTGGGTAAGTGAAGCAGCCTGGGATGCCAGCTTGGAAAGGGAGATGAGGAAGAATAGCAGAGATCTGCTGAAGAGATTAATCTGTTTTGTAAGCTTTCCCCAAGTACTTGCTGATACTCAAGGTTCCTATTCTTTTCCCTTGTTTTGGATGGATCTCTGAATTGACCTACGTGGACATTTCTGCATGAACTCCCTGGAATTGAAGCCCTGCTCCTTTACACTCTGTCAGGCCCAGTTCTTCCATCTGATTATTCTGACACACAAAGCCCTAATGAAATTCCCCAGTCCCTCAAAACCAGAGTGCAACCGTAACATGTTCCTGCCCACCTACCTGATCTCTTCAGCAAGACCATCGGTGCTCAGCAGTGCTCATGGCCAGTACACACAAACACTGTCAAGGGAGTGCTGCACTGCAAAGATTATTTTTCCACAGCCTGCAGCTGCCACTTTCTCTGCATGTCCTCTTCCAGACCCACCTCTCCCTTCCCCAGGTACAGAGCTATAAAACCTTTGTTCAGATACTAGACTTGTTTTGACTCTAGCCCTGCCACTACACCACTGGTCTTTTTAAATGTTCTTTCCCATTACCTATACTGAAGATTTGTTGTAAAAGATTTGTTGTTCAACCTTTGAACTCCTCAAATAGCTCCCATCAGCATCTGAACCAAGACTCTCTACCCTTCCTTTGCTTCTAGCCAGTTTCATTACCTCATCACTTTGCACAGCCTTTTTCCTCCAGCTCAGAATGTCTGAAATGTCTTTTCTCATATAGCATCTCTGTCATCCTCAGCCTCTTTCTCTCACTCCCCTGTTTCCCATGAAATCACCATATGGCCTTCAAGAAAAAGTTATATATCAAGTACCTGAAATATCTATGCTCTAACTTACACCTGGTTCACACGCTGGACTGGAAAGAGGACAGAGCCATATCCCAGAAAACGAAATTACCTTTCTGCTCCCCACTCACACCAGCTAGCAGAGCATAAAAGATGTGGTAATTCCTCTCTCCGGGGTTCTGGTGTACCACTCTGTTCTGAAACAAAGAACACAGGAGTAGCCAGTAGAAAGGGATTGCACTTGTGGTTGCAAAGGCAAAGAGAAGACCAGGATACAGGTAAATCTCCAGAGCCAATGTACAAGAGGAGGTTCTTCTAGTTTAGTGGTGGTGTCTAAATAAGCTCTACATCAAGCTCTTGTGTGGCTGTGCAGCTGAGCACATACAGACCTCTCTGAGCTCACTGAACCTTGTCGGTTCTGGCCCTGCTCCTCAGTGAGTTCCCAAGTCCAAAGTAAACGACATCAGAGCAGAGATGTCTGCATTTGGAGTTGTATCCCCATATTCCTCTCTATGGAACTGAGTTTCCAGGTACTTGTTCTCTCTCCCCTTCCCCTTGGTAAACAGCTTTTTTCATGGAGTCCCTCTGTAATGCACAGAGTTTATCAAAGACAGGAGAACAGGCTCTGATAGATATAGAAGAAACATTGTTCCTCCACCATCCTCTTCCTTAGCTGGGACAGTGGCGGTAGTAACACCTAAACAGCTCATGTCTATGTGCTGTGATGGAGGAAGCGTTGTCTGGCACGTGAAGATCTGGTACTGGCTCACCATGCTATGAGGAACAGGCTCATCCTGCAGTCAGTAGAGATTATACCTACCTTTTCCAGTAAATCTGAACAGAATGTTAAGGAGAAAACATTCAAATTACATATGCATATATATCCTGATGACTAGCAAGAATCTTCTAGACACACTGGGATGAACCCTGTAACAAGCAACAAACATTAAATAAATGACACTTTGGAAAGTGGACAAAGAGCAGTCCCAAACATCATCCGAGATCCTCCTCTCTACTCTTTGTCTAAGGAGGTATTATGTGCCAATGAGATATTTAAAAGGGCAGAGTCAGATAGAGCATAGGACCTGCACAGTCGAGAGGAAACCAAACAAAGGATGAGCCTCATTAGGGACACCTAGAAAGATTAGAGAGGCCGCTCTAATCTGAAAGTCTGTATTGCATACAGCAAATCTTGCATCAGTTCTCATTGCTTCTGCAAGAGACCACTGTCTTTAATCTACCAACAGCACAAAGAGCAGAGACTAAACAATCCAAGCCTGTTATTTACAACAGTAGTAAATTCATCTGGCTGCCACTCCAGTGGAAATTGGTGTGGTTTGCAGTCATCAGCAGCTTTGAACATCAGCAGCAAAAAATGTACCTAGGGCAGCTTTAGCTGCCTCATGTAGACAAAAGATATGTCAAAGCCTTTGGGAAAGGGGTACATGGGAATACAGGGAAGAAAGTGGTCACGGCATAACATAATTCTACTGTATCCAGTCGTCCTTTTTCTTACTGTCACTGGAACAGGCTCCCCAAGGAAGTGGTCACAGCACCAAGCCTGTCAGAGTTCAAGGAGCATCTGGACAATGCTATTATTCATATGATTTAGTTTTAGGTAGTCCTGTGAGGAGCAGGGAGTTGGACTCGATGCTCCTTATGGGTCTGTTCCAACTTGAGCTATTCTATGATCAGGGTTCCAAGGTCAGCTGGAGATGAGCAGCCCAAAACAGGGAGTCATAATCGGCCCTCCAAATTCCTGTTCTCCTCTGCATCCAAATATTGTGCAGTATATATTTAGTCTTAGCTTGGTCTCACTTTTCTAAATCATGAATGCACTGGCAGAGCTAACATAAGGGAACAAAATTCTGTGAAAAATAGGTTGCAATCAACTTGAGGGATCTTCCTAGGTAGCAAATTCTAGGGATTTAAATATCAAGTGTTGTGAATGCCAAAGTGAGAAGTCAGACTACCTAACGTAGTACCTAGACAAAAGGTTTCCAGAGTTAGCTGCAGCAGAGCCACAAAACGAACACTTCTTCCCTCTTTAAAGTTGCAAATTTGCCCACAGTTATAAACCGACTTTGAGAAACTGCGGTGAGGGATTTCCTGACCCACTCTGAGCTCTTCCTGATCTTCACTCACTCCATCCATTTCTGGTCCACTGGAGAAAAGGATACAGTCAGTTACTCGTCCTCCCTGGATGTGTCCATGCTGAGAGAAGTGCAGCTGGATGAACTTGCCAAAGCGGCTGGAGTTGTTGTTATAAACTGTTTTGGCATTTCCAAAGGCCTCCAGAATGGGGCTGCAGAAAGAAGGCAATGAAGATATGATGGGTGATTTGATACCATTACAACAAAGCGTGCACTCAGCCTTTTGCCATTTGCACAGCGTGCACTGCCATGTGAAATTAATTTGTTACAGCACCAGACTGGACAAGCAGGAAGAGCTCAAGGGCAAGGAAGGATGGCAAGAGCAATTTAACACACTGCCAGATAAATTTTAAACCTTTGGGATCGGAGTTAATTAAAGCAGTCTCCAATCAGTATGGGCAGCTGGTATTTATGCTGTCAAGGGCATTCCCCACCAGTGTAGCTTCAGGAAATGAAAGGTGGTGAGACCCAGCCAGGTTGTGTGCTTAACACAGCAGCATCCCATCAAACGGGCTTGTATTTCTTTCAGGATTTTCAGAAGCATCAGACATACAGGGCAAACATTCTGTAGCTTTAAACCACGTACTACTTTGTTTCTGTTTCTACCTTTGAAAGAGAAGACAGTATAAGCCATCTCTTAAAATCACAGCTAAACATTTTCAAACTAACAGACAAACATAGTACTAAACTGATTTGTTTGTTACTGGAACACACAAGCCCTTGCTGTTACTTAAATCTTGCTCAGGTTTATACAAGCCACATGGTTTCCAAGCAGAGGGAATACACACATTATAGATTTGAAAACTTGATATAAGAGCCACATCTCCAATTTCAGGAAAAAAAAAAAGTTGAAAAAGCCCCTATCACTAAACTTCAGACAGGTGATGAATTGAAGAATTTTGTCTCCTGGTTACCTTTCTGTCTTCATAAGGTTCATACAACATGGAAAAGGGCGAGATGAAATGCAGCTTTGTTCTCGCTCCACAGAACAGTACATGGGAAAAGCCCAAACCATTCAAACTGACACACTGAATCCAGGATTAAAATATTCCTTTTTGCAATGTAGTCAATTCTAAAATAATCTGAAGGGTTGACAAGCAAGGAGCCATGGAGATGCTACAAGAACAGCCTGTATGTGGTCATGTTTAATTTTAAAATATCTATCATTTTTAACAAAAATTATTGTCGTTATTACCATGAGAAGCAGAATCACTGAATCACAGAATGGTTTGGGTTGAAAGAGACCTTAAAGATCATCTACTTCCAACCCCCCTGCCATGGCAGGGACACCTCCCACCAGACCAGGTTGCTCAAAGCCCTGTCCAACCTGGCCTTGAACACTGCCAGGGAGGGGACATCCACCGCTTCCCTTGGCAACCTGTGACAGTGTCTCACCACCCTCACAGCAAAGAATTTCTTCCTAATATCTAGTTTAAATCTTAGTAAGAAATTCTTTACTGTGAGCATGGTACTGGCTTTTTAAACATCTCCATCGATCTGCTGTGCAGTTCCACTGGAGACAGGCAGATACAGGATTATTCACAAGTTAATAATTATAACATGACAAATAATCACAACTACAGATACCACTGGAGTTTGCTGAAAGCTTCAGGCCTTACAAGTGTTACCTAAGTGAGAGCTGTGGTTGTGGGAAAGGCCGAAAAACCTTCCGGAAATTTCAGGCAGCACTTTCCTGATTTATCTCTTGAAAACATAATTTTAAAGAAACAAAAGCATAGAAATCAAATTGGTTTGTTATAATAAATTACAACCATAGAAATCCCAGTCACAGAAATACTGATCAGGAGGTAAGTTCCTTGCACTGGAGAATTTGAACTCCAAGGCCCACACCTCTCAAGCAAGTATGTAAACAAGGACATTGCACAGGAATGTCCCACTGAGCACGCCAACACCGTGAATCAACAAAAATTAATGGGGACAACCAGAAAAAAGGGAGGACAGGGTTATGTTGTATGACCACCACAGCTGTAGTAAGAGTGCATTAACCAGCCAGCCAGTCTTTATGGCTCTAAATCATGTTAAATTAGATAATCAAAGCACAAGGAAGTATCTTTATAGTTTAGTTTGGCAATGGGCTCATGCACATGAGTACTGAAGTCTTTCAGGGATGGGGGAGGAAATAGGCATGTGGGTGTCTGAGGTTTGGTGGCAGCTATAAGGCAGAGGGGTGGGTGAGCTGAGACAGTCAGGAAGGGGGGCAGGTGCCTGGGCCAAGCAAACTGCCCGTGCCAGCGGTACATCACAGTGCTGAGGACAAAACAGAAGATGCAAAGATTAAGGGATGAATAACAGGGAAGCTGGCTATATCATCAGCAGTGGCACCCAACGTGGAGAAGGGAGCTTTGGAGTGAAGTATGCAAGGAAAAAAAAAGCTGAGAGGAAAGTTAGCAGAATTTTTAATGGACTGATGGATACTTTCAAGAAGGAAAACAGACCAAATCAACAGCGCCAAGGGAGCTTTCAGGGCTTGATTTCTGAGAAATACACCAAGCATGAATGTTACAACACACAAGCAAATGATAGAAAGCTGATGTAAGACTTTGTTTATAATGCTGTCTGGAATGGAGAAAGAATCCAGCATTGTTCCTGGGTATGTGCTGGGGTGCAAGTGGGAAAATCTGCCATAAGCTAACCCAAGGAGAGTCAGTGGAGAGCAAGTGAAGCTGAGCAGCAAACATACGAGGTAGACTCATTAGGAGTGGCAGCTGCTTCTGGCTCTAGGCCAGGTCTTCAGCTTCTCTTCTTCAGCAAAAAGGTGACAAATCAAATTCTCCTGCACTTGCATTGCATTGCAGATGTACACAAATCTGGTTGCGAGCTCTTACTCCACCTCACAGCTGCGGGATCTTGCAGTCTCAGGAATCACCTACCTACCAACGTAAGCTTTCTGGATCACAGTCAAGTTACCACTTAACTGCTAAGAGGGTTTGAGCTTTCTAAGCCACTTGCCTTAAAGCAGATCTTCCAGATCTTGAGTTGTGACTGTATCACACTTAAAAGCTTTTTCCAATTTGCCAATGTCCCTGATAAAACCTGTACACCTGCAAAGGATAAATCATCTAACAATGGTCTCTTGAGCACCAGGTCCAAAAGCAGCAACCCTTCTGGTCAATGCTGCTCTGCTTATATGGATCCTAAAAACTGCAATGTCATGTTAGACACTGCATGTCTGCTTAGGTTATTGTCACTACAGTTACCAGTAACTTTTTTGCATCCTTGTCTTCCAGGAAACATTCCTTCTCTCTACTCTCTGGGCCCTGAAATATGCCACTTGCATGAGAGTCACTTCTACAGAGATGGTTCAAAGGATTCCAGCTTGTTACACAACTTGATCCTGTTGCAGACATCTGATTTACGCCTCTGGAGGCTTCTGCAACTATCACAGGCTCCAACTGAAACAAACCCTGCCCTTGACAGTACTGAACAGCAAGACCCCCCCAGCAAGGTTCTCCTGGCAGTCTTGCACTGAGAAATCTTTGTTTAATTAAATTTAATTTAATTTATTGCTAATTAACTGAAACTTCTGATCATGGATTCAGCTGTTAAAAAGCAGACACTTAAGTAAACATCTTTCCTCCCTCTTCCGAAGGCTTACCTGACATCAAACACCTATTGCTCCCCTTCCTTAGCCTCAGCTTCCATTTTACCTCAGGTTACAGCCAGTCCCTCACAACTCCCCCCACAAGGCCGCAGGCAGTGCAGGACATTGAGGTCTCACATGTAATGGTTTCTTTCTGTCACTCTTTGCTTCCTCATTTTCTCTGCTGCTCTTTACTGCTTTCTAGTTTTCCTCAGCTGCACTTTGCTTCTTCAGGTTCTCCTGACACTTTTTTTTTCCTTGGCATTACTGTTCCACCGTGGATCACCCCTGGGCCATGCATGGGTCACGGTGCCTCAGGGGCGTCAGGACCTTCTTTGCCATGAAGGATCCACCATAGGGCACAACTCCATCCCTTCATGGCTGCTGGTTTATTTCCCAAACACATTTGATCTGGTTGCCATGCACCTCCCTGCCTGACACCTTGGCAAGTTTTTGGTGGGTGGTGGTTATTTCTCGGTGCCAGTTCTAGCCAAAACCAGCTCTGACCAGCCCAGGGCCTTCTTCCACACAAGCCCTGCTGCAGCCCACAGCAGACCTCCTCGCTCGTGCCCCTTACAGCTCCCATGGATGTTTTGCTGTGAAATCACTTGTCTGGACAGCAAGAGCTGCAAGGTGGCCCACAGGACCTCTGAGATATACCAGTGGCCTGAAACAAATGGAGGCCAGAGAAGCGTGAAGGCTAAAGGAGGAGACCAGGAGTCAGAGCATGACGGAGACTCACCACAAGCACAGCCACAACCAGGAACTATGTGAGAAAGGGACAACCTGGGATGAACATCCCTGCGACAGGGAGGGACGTTACCCATGTCCCCTCCAGCCACTGCCACAAGAGACGTGGACCTGGGAGCTGGAAAGTGGGACAGCGCAGTGATGTGTGGCTGAGCTCAAGGGTGCAGCTGGGCAGGCATGGAGGATGAATTACTGAAGGAAGGAGAAATCCCAGCCTTGATTAGAGCATTAACTCTCTGGCTGCCACAGACACCCTGTGCTGCTATTGGAAAGAAGCTAGATTAATCCACAAGCAGCTGGGAGGGCAACCAGCATGAGGTGTCCTGGCGAGACCGCAACCTCTTCATTTCCCTAACATGACAACATTCAACTGCTTGAGCCTCACTGCCTGGGTTCAGCTCCATCCACAGCCCGGCTGAAGTAGCCCAAACACAGGCACCATGCAGAAGGCAGTGCCCTTGCCAAAGGCAAGCTGTCCCAGCACACCAGTGTCCGCAGGCCTACCAGGCTTCTGTGGGACAGGACTCGTGGCACCTGTGGGAGTGACAGTACCTGCTTTCCAGGATGGCTTCTTCCACATGAGTGCTCTTCTCAACTGCAGGGGCCCCAAGGGAGGTCTGGCTCATGGCTGACAGAAATTTCAGCAGCAACTTGGTGCTCTCAGTCTTTCCAGCTCCACTTTCTCCACTGTTAAAGAAAAGACATACATTTCATTCACAAATTCAGGGCAGACCGAGCTAATGACCATCCCACCTGTGGCAGGGACACAATCTCCAGGAATATACACTTGGCATCTCCACTGGAGCAAGCAGGGTTCAAGCACAGGGTAGGGTAGGATGGTGTGGATATTTAGGCAGATGTCATTGCAAATAGAGCAGAAGGAGCAAGGCAAGTAATGCAGTAAGGGAATAGCCGGTTCTCTCATTTCTAACCTTATCAGAACACACTGGCTGTCATGACGCTTCCACAAGCAGCAGTAGCACTCGTTAGCAGTGGCAAAGATGTGGGGAGGCAGCTCACCCAGGCGGTGCTGTCTGTACAGGTCTATGGCATCCACACTGTACAGACCAGGGATGGGCTTGTAGGGATTGACTGATGCCAAGATGGAGCCAATGTTTGTCTAGGGGGGAGAAAACAAAACACAGCAAGGAAATAAAGCTCGTGGAAAAAAAACAACACAACAAACCCGGACCCTGAAATAACTCACGGTGAAGGGAGAAAGCCTAAATAAGGAAGTTGGGCTTCAGCAGAGAGCCCCTCAATTTGGCAAAGAATGTCAAACCCCAGGGTAGGGGCTGTATGACTGGGTATGGATGGTGGAGTTTTACAATGCAAAATACAATGTTCCAATGTCTGTTGTCTTTGCTAAATTAAGCTGACACAACTTAAAAACATGAAGCCATCTTCATACCCAGCTAAATCGCACTGTGCTTGAAACTGAGAAGCAGAGCCAGGACTGAAAGTGTCCAGAGATAACTTCAATGCCCCTGTCTGCAGTCTTATAGTGGAAGAGGCTTGGCAGGGTTCAAGCATCTCCTGAACAAAGAGGTGGGACCAGCAGACACGCACGCACACACATGTGTGAAGAGCCACTAAAGCGCATTGTTTTTTCCTGTGCTGAAAAATGCTGTTTGGAGCAGCTTAAATCATTTGGTAAGCCAAATAAAAATTGACAGCTGAAGATGAAGCTCAGGAATCAAGTCAAAACATTTCTACATTTTCTAAACATTTTATTTTGAAAATATTTAAGATCTCACAGTTCAAGAAAAGAGCTAGTAAGATTTAAAATAAAATACCCAAAGCCTAAAACTGAATTTTAAACATATTCTTTTGTGAAGTCGGAAGGAAATTAATTTTGCTTTTTGGGGCATGACTGTTTCGGTTCAGCCAGCCAGCTCAAATCCAGTTATTCTCAGAGCTGCAGTTCAGAGCAATGGTGACACCTCTCTCCTAACAATGCCTTTGTAATATGGTCAACATCCAGCTTAAATCTGCTGCTGGTGCAGTAGCCTCCTTCATAGAACATCATGGGCTGCTCTGTTCC